ATATGTAGGCTGATCATCGGGGCGTGCACACTGCGGCTCCACGACAAGGATGCACTCGTTATCCTCTGGTCCGTCTGTGCGGACAGCGTCGACGAAGCACCTCGTGAGGTCTTGGACCTCCTGGGCTATGCCAGGGGCGCGGTGCAAACACTTGGGACACTGTCCTTTGCACGCCCTGCTGCCCATGAAGGGCCAACTATTCGCTGCACTCATGTGAGTGAGGCTGACGGAGCAGTCTGGCACGAGCTCCAAAAGCGCTGCATGGGCAAGGATGCCCGCCGCAACAGATCTATGTCTGTTGGCTTTGCAAACCACATGCACGGCTATGGACCTGATCCCAGCGTCCTTAGCGTCAAGGACGTTCGCCACAATGTGCCTGACGTGGGCGATCAGGTTAGGGTGGTCCGCGTGCTCCCGAATTATATCGGGATTCGACCCAACATGCTTTGTGCGGTCGCGCTGTTCGTCGTTGCGCTGTTGGGCTTCTGCTGGCGTCAGATCGTCTTTCCGATCGTCCCTGAGCCACACCATGTCCAACATCACTAGCATATAGCTAGTGGCACTCGCATACGTCGTAAGCGCATGCGTTTCCATCTCTTCGTGCTGTGCGAAGAGCTCGGCCGCCGTCCACTTCCCTCTGACGCGTTGCAGCCAGGCATGGTGCTCATAGCCCCAGGTAAAAACATCAATAATGATGTCCGGGTTCGCTGTGTCCCCCGCGTAAAACGGTTGCAAGGCCAAATCCGGATTATACACGGTTGCTGGGAGAGGAGTGTCGAGCTCCGGGCCATGGGGACCACCACCTGCCATTATAACCAGGGGCCTATTGTGCGGATCCTTCTTCACAACCGCATCGAACTCGGCAAGCTCGCGGTGCCCTCGCGCGATCTCCTTCGGGTGCACTGTGGCACGAGCTGCCGGCGGGTTCCCTGGGCTATCCCCAGGCCTAGCCTTCTCTGTGGGAGGCGCTTTCTTCGGCAAGCCACTCCCTGGCGGCGCCTTAGGTGCAGGCGCAGAAAAGGCAGGAGTGATCACCGGTGCGGCACTGTGGCCGACCGCAGGCGAAATCGCCATGGCACTGTGGCCAGGCTCCGGCGCTGCTGAAATCTTCGGTGCAGCCTTTGCCGTCGGGGGCGCCTTCTTAGGCAGCTGCCCCTCCTCTGCGGCCATCGCGGCGGGCTCCGTGTCTCCTACGGACGTGCCTACCATACAATGATTCGGGAACGCTACGCTTATACGTCGCTTAGTGTTGTTGCGATTCTCAGCTGTCGTTGTGAAGCTGTGACCGTGGCCTACGCCTAAAGTGCTATGACCATGGCCTGCATCTACAGTACTGTGACTGCGACTTGTTGCCACTGCGTCATCTGCCGCTGTTGCATCTCGAGGGGTGCTCACAGACTCTGAGTGAGCTAAGGTGGCGGCGGCGGCAGACCTAAATATAGGAACTGGCGGTGAGGGAATTTGGAAGCTTCTTATGAGACGGGGTTGTTTCACCTGAACCAAACCTTCTGTTATGTTTATGCATAACAGCCCTGAGTCATGTGTCCGACACAGCTTGATCCTAATGATGCTATCCTCAGAAGGAAGTCGAACACCACACTCGCCAAACCGAAGATCCTTGGTTATACCAAGTTGGGCCTGGGCGTAAAGGGACAAAAGGAGAGGGGCTGTACCCTTAATCTCGTGAGAATCAAGGACGCCCGGAACTCTCAAGTCCTGCTCCAATCCCATTATAGAGAAAGGTATGGTCCTGCTACCCAGTGTTTCGGTAGCACCGCTAAGACCCTTGAAGGTACGATTGCCCTCAGGTTTAAACCTCGTGCTGTAACCGAAGTTCGCAAGTTTCCCCGCCGCGTTTGCTATCCAATCGCTACCGTGAACAGTCGAGTTACAGCCCTCATCCAACACGGCGTATACGTGCTTATCCTCGTAGATATTTACTACGGGCAAATCAACCAAAGCCGGATGGATATCTGTGACCCCCTCAGTGAAAGCCACGAAGGCGTGCCTCGTCGCGGAGGCCCTCGAGGAGCGCGATCTCACCGACGCCACTTCCCAACTGTTGTTGGTCGATGACGTAGAGTGATCATCTAAGGCCTCTTGCAGGTATGCGAGAAGGTCACCGCGAGATATCACGGGCTCGGTTACGAAGTGACCCTCTATGGTCTCTTGAAACTGGGCAATAGCCGGAACTACTACCTCTACGGGGAGGCTATCCCCCGTGCTGCCGACTATGCTGCGCAGAAGATCGAAGTCCAGGGTATTGGACTCCCGCAGCACTGTGGCTGCGTCATCCCTAGCCTTTCGCTCGGTCTGCGGCTGCTCGTCTAGAAGCATCCCACAAAGCTTGCACTTAATGCGGGAGGTCTTCCTACTGCTACCCGACCTCTCGGTGGAGGTGTGGGGGCATGTGGCCTGGTCTATGACAGGCTTCTCTTTCTTCGTCTTGTGACGGTGCCGCATTTCTTACAGGTCCGCATGTCTATGTATGCGTTACTCCCCGACTTGTTGAACTCCTTGCAACCTCCCCGGCATTTCCGGGGGCCTTCGCTGGACGAAGCAGCTGACGCGGCGAGGCGAACCTCGGGCTGAAAGGGTTCAGGCGGGGGCTCCTGGCTGAGAGGGACATCCCTTCTCGTAATGCTAATGGGGTTGTCATCACGCACATCAAAGTACTCCGTGACCCAATCCAAGAAATCGGCCAAATTTATGGATGGGCACTTCTGCGTGCGTCCCCAAAGAACATATCCAGGAAACGTATACAAGACACGCTCATAAGTCAGACCCTTATGCTGACCAAAAGGAGAAAACGCGATCGGAACCCTCAGGCGGGCTGTCACGCATGATCCTAGCGGCGGCTGTGCGCCGAAGCTGCGGTGAGAAGAGGGTTTCATTGCCGCGGCCTTTGCCGGTATTGGTCTTTGAGGGAGTCAGCTCAAGGTTGGCTGGGTAACCCTCGAGCCTACCAGCGCTCGCATTCGACAGGTGGACACACTCTGTGTCGTCATCCTCCTCCACTGCGGCGAAATACGCCTGAGGCTTCGGCGCCGCCGGCTTTGCGGCTGCGTTGGCAGTTCCCCCAGACTGTGCTGGGGTTGCGGTGCCCTTGGGGCCATTGCCCTTACCGCTAAACTTGCAGGCAGCATCTCCGGCCCAATGGCCGATCACACCGCACTTCAGGCACCTACTCTTTGCCTTAAGCTCTGCCAACTTAGCCTTACGATCAGCAATAGTCAAATTGCTACGCACGACCTTCCCACCGGATTTTCCGGAGGACTTGCCCTTGTTCTTCACTTTTCCTTTCCCTTTTGCCTGGGCAAAGGCGGTCTGTGCCGCGTACGCAAGCTGAACTGACTCGGCATAGGAATCATCCAAATCGTCAATCTCAGCTTCATATGCCACTGCCGTATAGGCGTTGAGTTGCAATGCTAGGTCTTCATCATCAATCCATTCGTCCGCATCATCTCCCCCAGACGCTGTGGCCTGGTATGCTTCCTCGCCGTAGCCGTCACCGTAGCCTTCCGCGGATTCCTGTTGTTCCTGGTGACCATACTCTGCGGCACTACCATCATACCCCATGTAACCAAACTTAGGGTATTGTGGCTTAGCGTCGAAACGTCTCCAGGTCTTACCTGGGCCACTAGGGTCCTTCTGGGTAAGAAGACGTTCCTTCATGTGCACCACTGAGTGATGCTGAACAAGGACGCGTGCGTACTCATCCACGGTGTGTACGCGGGCAGCGGTCTTGACCATTAGCTGTTCGTTCCTTTCCAACCCTGAAAGCTCAACAAGGAGGTTAGCCCTCATTGCTTCAGAAAGGCGGATATCAGGATCTAGCTCACGCAAGGTCGACCACCACCGCTTTCGGCGGGCTATGTAAGACAACATAGGCTCGCCGGGTTGCTTTGCGAGTGGGCCCGTCAGGAGCTGTCCCTGACGGAAAAGTTCGGACGCCTCTTCAGATTGAAGAGGGAAAGCTTGCCTCCTGATTTCCTCTATCAGGTAGTCGACGCCATCATGGCGTAGCAGACGTTCCAGGCCGACGTCGCGAGCGATGCAAAAGGCGTCTCCTCGGAGACCCTCCAAAATCTTGCTAACGCATTCGCTCATATCAAGCGACTCGTCCTTAATGTCTTGCAAGGTGTACACCGCCGGATCTGTGTCCGGCTCCTGCTCATCGTCGCCCGCCACTTGGCTGGGGTGCGACGGCAACGACTCCGCATCCTCATCTTCTGCCTCGGACGCGGGCTTAGTCCGTTTTGCGCTGGACGGACTGGCGGGTATACCGCTGCTTCCATCACCATCTGTGGGCGATGCGCTGGTCCCCTGACTTGCCCTGCCACGCCACTTCCTTGGTGACTCGCTCTTGGCCCTTGCCGACTCGGCAAATCGCAGGTCCTTAAGAGCTTCACGCCGCTGCTTCTCCTTATGTTGCAGCACACGGATCTGTGTCCGGAAGCACCAATCGTGGAAGCCAGCAGCCGTACCGTCGTATATGTACGAACCGCTTTTCGTTTCTGCAGGGCTCAGGTTCTGTGACCAGAGATTGGGCTGGTAACGCAAACCTGCCACGCTCATGGCTTCAGATAGAAGGGGCCTTTGCGCCGCGACTATCACTACTCTACCCAACGGACCCCGGACCACAGGCTCTACGGGGGTGAAACACTAGTGGTTGTCCTCACAGCTCCGCTACCAGTTTGAAGCAGGAACTGGATTAGTGAGTGTCCAACCACACAACGAGCGCACTTTTTGGTCTGAGCCCAAGACGTCTGTCGTACAGGGTGCGTTCAGAACTGTCTCAAAAACTATTCACGCATGAGGACATGTCAACACGGCGCTTCAAGACAGGGAAATTTCACAACCCTAAACCCCTAAACCCTAAACCCCTAAACCCTAAACCCCTAAACCCTAAACCCCTAAAACCCTAAACCCTAAACCGTCCTGGACCTCCGACTCTCTGAAGCCCAAAGCCCCGCTTGCGCAATAGCTAGGGCCCGCACAGTCGCGAGTTCTGGTCCTTCCGCCAAGCTACTACGGCTGATGATGCCTTTAAAGGGATCCATAAGGGTACCTTTAAGGGGGTTCCTCTAAGGGATCTGTAGGGTTTAAGGTTGATGATATAAATCATGCATTACCCATAATAAGGAATATATCGTAATTCCCATAGTTTAGGGTCCTTAAGGTAATGCAGGATTTATATCATCAACAGTAGTATCATTCTTCTTCCTATTGCTATTGCTAGTGTACCATTTCTACTGTCTTTATGTTAGTTTCTATTGTGGTTATTATTGTTACTATCACTATTACTTCTTACTACGAGTATTGGAGTTGGAGCTTAAGGCGAAAGGATCAAAGATCCTTAAGCCCCTGAAGAGCCGCAGCTGCACTACATCTCAGAATTCCCCTCGAAGAGCCCAAAAAAATCCGAAAGCCCTCACAGTCCTAAAACTCCCAGGGCCTCGAAACTCCCAGGGCCTCGAAACCCCCAGCTGAAAGCCCCGAAACCCTTGAGGCCCTTTATAACCCTAGAGCCCGAATGCACCAAGTCCTCAAATCCCCACACCCCCAGAAGGCTACAAGAAATACCCAAAACCACCCCATCGAGCCGTAAAGGATCCTGTTCAAGCCCTGTGAAGCCCAAGAAGCGCTGTAAAGTACCATTAGCTCACATAAGACCCTGTAAAACAAAACCGTGCAAAACCCCAACAATACCAATAAAGCCCCATGATCTCCCCAAGAAACCCGGAAAAGCGCAATAACGCCACGAACCCTAACCCCTAAACCTAAACCCGAAACCCTTATAGAACCCCAAAAGAACCCTATAGAACCCGTGTTGAACCAGTCTAGAACCCGTTTCAAGGCTCTACCTTAACCTACCAAACCCTACCTTTTTGTAGGTTCTTCTTGTAAACCCTAGTGTGGAATTTATGGGGACCCTACAAAAAAGTTGGTTCCGATAGGTTAAGGTAGAAAGCCATGAAGCCCCTCGGGCCTTCGGCCAGAGCGGAGAAGGTGAGGACGCCACGACGGGTGCCTTCGCCACGGGCGGCACGGGGTCTGCCGGCGCTGGTCTCACCTGGTACCCGGATACCGGGAGGATCTAGGAAGTAGATCCCCTAATTTGGGGCCCTAAACCACGAAGGGCACCTTAGAGGAACCCCCATTAAGGGATCTACTTTTTGGATCCTCCCGGCGTATGGGTAAGAAGGGGCTCCGTTAAGGGTCCTATTATTAATAAGGGATCTATGGAGGCTCCTTTAAGGGCTCCTTGAAAGCGGTCTATAGGGTATCTATAGGGGCTCCTTTAAAGGGTTCCTTCAAAGCGGTCTACAAGGGATCCCTAGGGGCACTGGTCTTGCCTTGTGGCACGAGTGGTCGGTTTAGGGTTTAGGAGTTTGGCGGCTTAGGGTTTAGAGTTTGGGGGTTTGAGAGTTTGGGGTTTAGGGCTCAGGGTTTAGGGATTGGGATTTAGGGTCTAAGGTATGGGGTTCAAGGTCTAAGGCTAAGGTATGGGGGGTATGGGGTATGGGGTTTGGGGTTTAGGGTCTACGGTATGGGGTTTAGGGTCTAAGGTTTCGGGTTTGGGGCATATACGGTCGAAGAATAGTGGTACTGTTGATGATACAAATCCTGCATTACCTTAAGGACCCGAAACTATGGGAATTTGGGATATTTCCTTATTATGGGTGATGCAAGATTTATATCATCAACCGTACTAATACACATGCTGATCATGATGCTTGCAGAACCTGAAAACTGTCTTGGGAGATTCGCAACACCTGCAGTGCCTAAAACCTAAAACCCTCAACCCAAAACCCCCGGAGTTCAACAACCCGTATAGAGCCCTTGACGAGAACTCCGATAGGATCCGTTGCGGAACCCTTACAGGAATCCTTAAAAGCACCTTATACCCTTATGGCGCTATCCCTTAACTTCCCTAAACCGGCTCACTCCAAACCCCCCCCAACTAAAATCCCCACATCGCCCTGAAACCCTCCAAACACCAAAACCTGCAGCTAAGTCCCTTCAAAGCTCAAAAAGCAACAATCGAACACCAAAACAATAAACTGCAGAAAAAAGACACGCACGAATTAAGCACAGCACTGTAACTAGAGCTGGACCCAAACCTGCCCCTTAAACTCAGGGCATAAGCCCCCTCTATAGCATGGCCTAATTCCCTAAACCCTAAACCCCAAATCTCTAATCCCTAAACCCTAAACCACAAATTCCTAAACCGTTACATCCCTAACCCTTAAACCAAACCCCTCCATCCCTAAACCCCCCAACCCCCCAATCCCTAAACCGAAAATCCCCTCAAAATCCCCAAACCCTTAAATCCCTAACCCCTCAAACCCTCAATCCCTAAAACCAAAAATCCCTCAAAATCCCCAAAAAACCCTAAACCCGTAAATCCCTAAACTCTCCAGTAAACCAAAAATCCCTTCAAAATCCCCAAAGCCCCAGCAGAGGAGCCGAAGGAGCAGCCGGCGGGGGCGCGGCTTTGGGCATGTAGCCGCGGTCTGGAGGCACCTCTGGGGACGTGGGGGTTTGGGGATCAGGGATTTAGGGGTTTAGGGATTTGGGAATTTGGGGTTTGTGGGTTTGGGGTTTAGGAACTTGGGGTTTATGGGTTTAGGGTATAGGGTTTTGAGGCACCTCTTAAGGGTTTAGGGTTTTGGGGTTTAGAGTATAGGGTTTTGAGGCACCTCTTAAGGGTTTAGGGTTTTGGGGTTTAGAGTATAGGGTTTTGAGGCACCTCTTAAGGGTTTAGGGTTTTGGGGTTTAGAGTATAGGGTTTTGAGGCACCTCTTAAGGGGTCTAGGGTTTTGGGGTTTAGGGTATAGGGTTTTGAGGCACCTCTTAAGGGTTTAGGGTTTTGGGGTTTAGAGTATAGGGTTTTGAGGCACCTCTTAAGGGGTTTAGGGTTTTGGGGTTTAGGGTTTAGGGTTTAGGGTTTTGAGGCACCTCTGGGGACGTGGGGGTTTTGGGGATCAGGGATTTAGGGGTTTAGGGAATTGGGAACTTGGGGCTTATGGGTTTAGGGATTTGGGAACTTGGGGTTTATGGGTTTAGGGTTTAGGTGTTATGGGATTTAAGGGTTTAGGGGTTTGGAATTTGGGGTTTAGGGGTTATGGGTTCTTTTTCAAAGTGCAGTGGACTTTCGCTCGCACGGAAGTCTCATCTCTCTAGAGATGTGCGCATCGGGCGATTATTCCAGGGGGTTTAAGGATTAGGGTTTAGGGTTGGGGGATTTAGGGATTTGGGTTTAGGGATTTGGGGATTAGGATTTGGTGATTTAAGGTTTGGGGATTTATTGTTTAGGGTTTAGGGGATTTGGGATTGGGGGGCTGGCGTTGATGACTACACGGGTTTGGGGTTCAGGTGTTCAGGGGTTTAGGTTTGAGGGTCCTTTAGGGTTTAGGGCTTTTTTCGGGTTTAGAAGTTAGAAGGTTCGGCTTGAGGGTTTTGGGGTTTAGGGCAGAGAGGGTGGGTGTTCATAGGAATAATACAAAGTACAAAGCTGAGTATGCTGGCATACTACGCATAACCATCAAGGTCGTGCTCAACCGGAATCTCGAAACCCCAAGCCTGAAGATTGTTTAGGGTTCCGGGTACCATGCCTTGGGTATCGGCTTGCTGGAGCGTCGCCCGCTCCTGACAAGAGCCCGACTCAGCTTCGCGGTTGGGGCATCGGGTTTCGTTTTGTTTTTGTGTTTTTGTTGGTGGGGGTGGGGTTCGGGTTTAGGGCTTAGGGTTTGAGTTCAGGGCTTCGAGTCTAGGGACAGGGTATTCGGGAGATCCAGAAACTTACAGTAGGTACCTATTCCGGAGGGATCCTTAAAATCAGGCTAAACCAGGATTTCTGGCCTTTGGGGTGGGTTGTGTAGTGGTTGGGATATAAGAATCCTCGGCATTAGCATAGGACTGAGGTTTTATGGTCATGTGGTGGAGTGTGTAGGGTTCTGAACACAGGATCCTGGGCCAGGTATATTCAAAGGGGAAAAGGAGGGGTATAATGGGTATATAATAGCTATATCAAGGGTATATACCTAGGGGTCCTTATTAAGGGTCCCTCCTTTTACCCTTGGATATATGAATCCGCAAATGCAGCGCTCATAGGTGACACCGGCCATCGACTACGGTGGCGGCGACGGCGACTGACAATGTACTTTAATATACTGTATAATGTGCTACAGTGTACCATAAATGGACTTTAGTTTGCTATAGTCTGCTGCTACATAGGGCCTTAATCATTAGAATAGGGTTTGGGGGCGCATTATACAATGATTATAACAAGGAACCCCAGAATAGTACAGGTGATTATGGTTCCCTTCAGTAACAGGTCCCAAAAAAGCAGGTAACGATTTAAGCCCCTATATTAATGGCTGAATCTTGTCTTTCAGGATGCCATTCTACCGAAACCCCGCTCTTGACAGCCAAACCTCTACACATGAAATCAAAAGCGTCCGAGAACTTGAAGCCAGGGCTTAGGGCTTTGGGGCTTTGGGGCTTTGGGGTTTGGGGATTTAGCGGCTTAGGGATTTAGGGGTTTAGGGATGTAGGGATTCAGAGATGTATGGGTTTAGGGATGTAGGGGTGTAAAGGTTTAGAGGTTTAGGGGTTAGGGCCTAGGAACCCTGAACCAAAAGAACTCCTCAACCCTGAACAAGGGGCTTAGTCACTAATTGAGGCTGTGTTTGGGATTCTGCACCACAGCAATACACGAGGTCTATTGCGACTCCCGAAACCCTTGCACATCGAGTTTGTGAGTCTAGAACTTTCCATAGTTTACTTAGAGCATCGTCTACTCAATTCTGAAAAGTGGGGACAAGTTGCTGCTTGTTGAGCGCCAGTTCCAACATCTTCAGCACGCTGTTGGGCCCCTTCATGAATATCCTCAGTTTCAGTTGCGGCTTTGTCCTCAGAAAACCAAAATGAGTAATCCCAATCTTCTGGACGGCCCTTCGGCCCACCAAGAAACACCTGCCTTTGCCTGTTCCTACCATGCAGCTTCCTATAGCAGTACGAATTATTCAGGCTTTTGCAATGCACAATAATGCGCAGGCTGGCCCCTTGGCCTATACCGTCGGCATTCGCCTCAACAGCAGGCACCTCCACCACTCCCGCAGTAGGTTGTGAACCCCGAACTTAAAAGACCCAAACCTGCAACACAAACACACACACACAGACTGAGCCGGATGCCCAAATGCAAGCAACGAAAGTAGAAAAAGTAGGCAACAAGCGATAACCACAACAACACTACACATAATGTCAAGTGTCTATAGTCATAGTGTTCTACAGATAGATGAATGGATAGTTGGATAGATAGATAGATACATAGATAGATATATTAAACCATATGGACGCGATGCTACAGAATCCAACCGGATCTAATCAAGGAGCCGCTTGGGAAGCGTCGGTATGTGCTCCTCGTCGCCCAGGGCCTCGTGACATATCGTCGCGTTCGAAATGTTAGGCTTAGTTAAGTGGCTGTCAAGCTCTTGTCGAAGAAGTGATGGCAATGATGGTTGGGTTGTTGTACCGCTTTGAGGAGTGTTGGATAGCTTGCACGCCAAGGTTTCGAATCCGACAGGACCGATGAATCCGGGCTCCCCACGCCGCCACGGTCGACCAGATAACACTGCAGCCGGTTGCTGTACCTGAGCTTCCAAGATAGCCGAGTCCTAGTCTTTGACACCAGGGGCCATAAGATAAGGTTCTTGATGGTAAGAACACGGCTTTGTGGCTCATTCTACTATAAATATAGTAAAAAACCCCCAACATAATATTGGTATTTATTAAGGCCCCTATATTAGTCAGTCGGGGTATGAAAGTATAGCCATGTAAGGACTATCTGGAGGCATTCATCGCTAAACCGTAAACCGTAAACCCTAAACTCTTAAACTGTATAGGGGGCGATATTGAGAAACGAATCAGTATGTTTACATCCGGAGCCCTCAAAACCGAATCAGAAAGGTGGAAGAATCTGAAGGTTACCCGCAGGCTCCAAAACCCCTCAGCTAAGAAATACAGCTCAAAGCATAGAGGCATCCTCGATCTGACTTAAGGTACATTTCTTGACTGCATGGCTCTGGAGTCTCTGGGGATCTGTTTCGGGTACGAAGATGCGACCCTAAAGGCAATGGACCAAGTCCCCCACTTGTTGCAACGGTTTGGGGATCAGTAGCCCACAAACCCAGAACAGAAAATGCAAGACTTGGACCCAGACCCGCTCTACCAACTGAATCCCAGCAAAAGCCTAATCGGTTTGCTGTTCCTGGCAACCTGAAACCCGAAACCCAACCTCTATGAAGCGGAGCAAGTCGCAGGATCTTGTCTCCCAGCCAGCCGTCACCCAGCATTCGCTTCCACTGGCCCACGGTGCATTCGTCCGGGACCTCGATCTCCACGCCTCGGATCATGCAGTAGTAGTTGTTGTTGTTGCTGTTGCTGTGGCAGTGGCAGTGGTAGTGGTAGTCGTGGTCATGGTAGTGGCAATACTAGCAATAGTAGCAGTAGTAGCAGCAGAAGCAGAAAGAAGTGGGTAGTAGCAGCGGCAACCAAAAGTAACTAGCAGCAATAGCAGTAGTAGCAGTGGTCGCGGTAGTAGCAGCAGTAGTACCGGTAGTAGTAGCAGTATCATTTGATTTTTTGGAAAGCAATTAGGGTCTCGGTCTAGGGTTTAGGGTTGAGGGGGATGGAGAAAAGGCTCAAGGGTGAGTCAAGGTTTAGACTTAATAGGTGGGGCTAGGGCTTCACGGCCAGGGTTTTAGGGCGAGGGGTGGGTTTAAGAAGGTGGGGCGCCGTCCTTCAGTTCATGTCCCACTTCGCGAGAATTTCAGCATCTGTCATGCTGGCAATGCTGACCGAGTGTGCGAGACCGGGATGCGTCCAAACAAGTTCCTGCAAGGCTCGACAGATGGCATGCACATCCACGGAAGTTGCCTCTAGCGAGCGTCGAATGTCTGCCATCGCGTCACCATGAGGTAGCCTCCTCAGGGCTGACACCGTGTTCTCCGCCGCGTGCTCCGGTCGAGGCCAATTCCGCCCGCCACACATGGCATGCAACGCGTCGCTAGCCTGGAACTGCTTTACCAGTGAGTGGATGATGGATGAGACAGTGACTGACAAGCTAATCTGGCGCCCTTTCCACGCATATCTGTGATCGTGTGCCTCAAAACTCAAATGAGCATCACGTTCATGAAGATTGCAGATTCCAGGACCTGTCTTCCAGATAGACGGTCTGTGTGGAATAGTAATGATGAGGACCGCATTGCAAAGCATGCGCGTAATCCAGCAGCGCTTGCTCCGCCGCAGCAGTCATCAGCGCCGGACAATCATTCTGCAACCAATGTTGCCGCACGCCGTGCCAACTGTCGGAAGTGACTTGTTCAGCTCCTGTGGCGCAGAGGCATCTGCGTTCTCTGGGCAAATGTCGGGGGTGGACGGGTATCATCCAAGATGCGAGTGCAGGGAGTGCAGTGCCCAGGCTGCGTGCAAGAAGTCCGCCGAGGACGTGTTCAGGCAGTCTTGAAATTGCCATTGCACGTGCTTTAATTACGTACATCTAGGCCGTCGTAGAAGCCACGAACCTTGTGCCCTCGACTGTCTAACTGCAGTAGGTCAGGCCGGGCCTCGATACGAAAGAGTTTCTGATGGACATTCACCATGGTGGACCACATATGCTCCGTGTTGTCCTGAATCCAAACGAGCGGAAGCGCTACAGTATCAAATAAGTCGTCTGCGAGATCAGGAAAGCCACCAAGTCTGCGATGTAGGCACGGTGTTCCGAGGGCACCACAATGTAACGGCACAATGGAACATCAAAGAGTGCAGGGAGCGCAGTGCCCAGGCTGTGTGCAAGCAGTCCCAGCGCTAAACCCGACTTCTGAGGTGTTTACGGGAGCGGAGGGTGAAACACAAGAGAAAAAGCCGATGCTCGCAATGGCTAACAAGGCTCGAGCACCGCCTGGCCTTCATTTCAGATCATCCTCGTCGGTAGTGGATTCTGATGTCATTTTCATCACCTCAGAAGTTGAACAAAAACATAAAACTAAACAAAGAAAACTAACTGTTTTGCCTCCTCGTCGCACTTCTCGGTTTTCTTGTTCTCGTTGTCAGCGGCCTCACAACTCCAATAAACACCAAAACAAAAAACTGCTAAAACTGGCTGTTTCAGCTCCTCTTCGCAGTTCTCGGCCTCCGAGGTCCTCTTCTCATAGCGAATCTCCTCACAGATTTGCAAAAAAAAGGAAAAAATGCAGAAGTCAGTTTGTTTCGCTCTGTCCTTCGGTGGGTGCAGCGGTTCCAGCGGGACCTGGCACCGCAACTAAGCGCCGCCAAGCGTCGCGGGAGCGACTGCGGCCGCAGCTGTGCTGTGCTGGCAATGCCTCCTTCTTCGCCTGCAAACGGCAACAAGGCACAGGCGCCTACCATGGCACGGCCCCGAGCGCCTCCTCCGGAAGCCAGCGGGCCAAGGCGAACTCAAGGGGATCCATTGTAGTTTCTCGTGGAACTGTGCTAAACCTGGCACTCGGGCTTGGATGCTCTTGTCGAAAGACGAGGTCTGCAGTGTCGGGTTCACATGGAAGCTTGAAAATACTTCGCCGAGGACGCCTTCAGGCAGTCCTGAAATTGCCATTCCACGTGCTTTACATCTAGGCCGTCGTAGAAGCCACGAACCTCGTGCGCTCGTTTGTCTACCTGGAGTAGGTCAGGCCGGGCCTCGATACGAAAGAGTTTCTGAAGGACATTCACCATGGTGGACCACATATGCTCCGTGTTGTCCTGAATCCAAACGAGCGGAAGCGCTACAATATCTATGCGAGTCCTCTGCGAGATCAGGAAAGCCACCAAGTCTGCGATGTAGGCACGGTGTTCCGAGGGCACCACAATATAAGGGCACAATGGAACATCAAATAAGCCCAATGCACGAATGGCAGCGCCGCGCCTGTCCGAGTCCTCAGCAGCGTAGCGGTAGTAGTAGCGGTAGTAGTAGCGGTGGTGGTAGTAGTAGTAGTAGTAGTCGTCGTGGTGGTGGTAGTAGTAGTAGTAGTTGTTGTTGTTGTAGCAGTAGTAAGAGCAGGAGCAGTAGTAGTAAGAGCAGCAGTAGTGTGAGGAGAGGAAGCAGCCGTACTCGAAGAGGTGCAAGCAGAGCAAGAAAGCCAGGCGAAGGAGCAGAGACGACAAAAACGCACCGTGCTCGTAGTAGAATGAAACATGTGCCGAACCTACAACCCTAAACCTGAAACCTGCAGCCCGTGTTTTGGCCCGCTTCGGCCCAGTTGCTTACGGGCTCCACGGTCACATCCACTTTGGGCATGGCCCGCTATGCCTAGCCAGCAAGTTGTGTCGGTTTCTGGGTCTGGGGAAGTGATGAGATAAGCGTAAACTCACCTCGCAGTCCAAGCCCTGCATCCCCACAGGGAGGATCATGGGACTTGGTAAGCACGGTAGGTTCGTTGAAGTTAGAAGTAATTATAAGTGCACTTACCAAACAGTAATTTAATCATAATCACAACACTAATAATAAGAGTAATGACCATAAGCTCAATCATAACCCTAGTCACGAAGCACCAAGGACCATGCTATTTGCAATACATGAGGCTCCCAAAAGCCCCCAAAAAAATCCGCCCCACTCTGTAGCGGAAGCACGGTCTAGGGTTTAGGGTTTAGGTCCTCTTGTTGAGGAGGGTCAGGGTTTAGGGCTTAAGACCCCAGAACACGTGGCAGAGCACGATTCGGGAAGCGAAGATGCATAGGGTAGGCCACCAACTCTGAGCGAACTGAAGGGGGCAGGCAGCGCGACGTCCCCATGCGGTTGATGATATAAGTCCAACATTGGAATATACCATCAAATTCATAGTTTAGGGTCCTTCAGGTAATGCAGGACTTATATCATCAACAGTAACCAGTAGTGATACTGCTCTGTTTAGGAGAACTGAAGCCCTGGAACCTAAAGCCGCAACTGTCAACAGGGGCTTCAATAAACAAATACTGTTCTTCAGAGTTCCCGTATATAAGCATGGTACAGCAAACTCCGAAGGTCTATGCTAGTTATTGAGGCCCCGGTACGAAAATCCAATACACTAGAGCCCTACCCTGCCAGAATCCTTAAAGGAACCCATTAACAGGAGACCTGATAATCAGAAAAGGGTCCCTTCAACGGGAGCCTTGTATACTTTATTTTGATGGAGAACTATGACTAGAGTACAACTATGTGGTATGTTGTACAATACTTATATTACGAACACCCAGCGGGTAGCGTGGGAGACCTGCTTCAGCTTCCGTTTCAATCACGAACCCGAAAGCTCAAAGCCCCAAGATTTAAAGATTTTTTAAGTCAAAATAAGAGGCCACATTAACTCTCCGGAACACTCTTGTATGATCTGAGGTCATTTCTTGGGTGCTGCACTTTCGGGGGTGGTTGTCGCTACTGCTGTTATTGGTCTGCTAGCTACAGGACTATTCAGAGCAATGATAGACAGAATAATGACACTGGCGCGATGTTTAGCGATCGAGACAGATGATAATGACATCAAAACCAGTCATAGCACAATGACAGCAAGCAAAGGAAGATGTAGGGTACTTAAAGGATCATGGGACTTAGCAAGTAGGTTATAACTGGGGTTATAAGTCCCCTAAGTGGGGTTATCCTAATTATATCCTACTTATAACCTTACTTACTAACTCCCATGAGCCTTGAAGTAAGGGTGTGTAAGGTGTCAAGAAGATGCATGGCTTGGGGTTTGGCGTTCGCGTGCGACTGTAGGGCTGGGGCTTTGGAGTTACAAGTGAATCCCAGAGGGTCCATATATACTACCATTATGGAATTAGGTCCCAAAAGACCATCCCCTCTTATGGCTTTGGGGGCCTACTTCCATAATGGTAGTATATATGGACCCTCTAGGAGTTCTTACGAGATTGATCCTCCACTGCCAGACCCGTCACACCTCGAGATGCCGCCGTGGCAGAGGTGCCATCACCGAAAAGCGGCGTGTCTAAAGCCCTAACAGTGCCCGAGCTGATAATTCTTCTAAAACCCCTAAACCGGCCACCGTCAACACCATTTTTTGAGGACGTCGGGGTTTCTCCGAAGAAGCGGGTGGAGCTTGGTACCGGGAGTATCAAAAGCTTTGGGCTAAGGGTTTACGGCTTTGAACAATGACGGCATTAAGTCACCACCGTCATGATGGCTCTGAGCGTACTTGCTGGAAGGATCTAGGGTGCCAGGATCGGAAAACGAGTCAGGCGCTGACGCTGTGCCACAAAATCTTGCAGACCGGAAACCCTAAACCCTAAACCCAAGATCCAAAACTCTGGACCCTAAACCGGAAGCTTCAACCCAATCGGTGGCTCTGGCGGCGGCGGGCAGGCCACCGTTCGATTAAAAACGGCTCTTGACGTGGCGAGTTAACGAGCTAGTGGGCCGGGCTTCGGGTTGCGCCTTTGTTTTTGTCGTGGGATTCGAGGAGGCCGTGAGATAACAAGAATTCTCATTGCCATTGCTGTCTCTAATTTCCTACGGCTGATGTTATAAATCCTGCATTGCCCATGATAAGGAATATGCCATAATTCCCACAGTTTCTGATCCTTAAGGTAATGCAGGACGTATATCATCAACCGTAGCTATCATCTATAACTCAACTTCTCACGGTCGCCGCTTGCTCTTACCCAGACCCCCGGGAGGATCCAAAAAGTGGATCCCTTAATGGGGGGTCCTATAAAGTACCCTTAGTAGTATAGGGCCCCAAATTAGGGGATCTACTTTCTAGATCCTCCCGGGGGTCTGGGTAGAAGCTTGCATTATGTAGGATCCCAGAGACTCCAATATCCCTGAATTAAGGAATACACCTCAAATTATACTAGGATCCCTAATATGATTTAAGGTATATTCCATAATTAAGGGATATTGATGAATATTGGAGTCTCTGGGAACCTGATTGAGAAACCTGGGGCCTTTATTGGGGTTCCTTGTATGATTCCTACTATTTTGGGGTTATAGACCCCAGGGTTTCATACTCTGGTTCCTACATTAGAAGCTTGCATGGGACATGCCCTGGAATCCGAATTCAAGGGCCGAAGCGGGCACAAGGCAAATGTGCTGTGCTAGAGCTTGAACCCGACACTCTCACTAAACCCTATGCCCATACGCTTTAACCGTAATGCGTCGAAATTAGCCTGCATCATAGCCTAGAGTGCACAAGCTGAAACTCTGCAAGCCCGAACACTCTCCGCATCACTACATCAAGTAAACCCCGCGCGGACACCGAAAATGCGGAATTCTCTCCGCAGCAATCAATCTGAATGTCACACCGCGTGTGTCGAAGCCTCAAGTCACAAACCCCCTATAAGAACCCTCAACCTCGAGTCCAAGATCCCTATAACAACCCTATCGGAACCAACCCTAGAAAGAAAGCGATGAGAAACCCAGAAGCACGCAAAACCCAACCTCGCATCCTCGGGGCGCATGGGCCTCACACCACCTCAGCATGGCAAGGCAAGAGCTTAGAATGGGGTTTGGGATTCAGGGTTTTGTTTTGGGTGCGGGGTCTGGGGCTTAAGCTTATGCTGGAAAATAAAGTTCGCTTCTCCTTCCTGCTCCCTTCGCACAGCCCCTCAAGCCCCTAAACTAAAGCCGTAAACCGCTCAAGCCACAACCCTAAAGCCCCAACCTTTCAAACCCCCTGAAGCCCTCGCAAAATCAACACGCCGTGCAGCTCTGAAGCAGATCGATGGCTTCGTTTAGGGTTTAGAGTTTAGGGTTTAGGGTTAAGGGTTAGATTGCACTTACACCATGAACTCTAAGTGGACGACAAAATCGACTTTGACCCTTGAGAACTCAAGTCCGAAAGCCCAAAACTCCATAACCCTCAACCCGAAGCCGCAACCTTTGAAAGCACAGACACCCTCAACCCCGAAACCGAACCCTCTTGCAACAGCAAGCCCAAAACCCTAAACCCTCAAACCCTAAGCTGCCTTTTTTCAGTGGCCTCTTCGGCTTTGGAGGGCCTCCGGCACATGAACTCTCCGCCTTTCTTATTCTTGCGCGCGCAGTTTAGGGTTTAGGGTTTAGGGCTTCAGTTCAAAGGTTTATAGGGCTTAGGGTTACAGACCAAGCTTCGATGCATGTTTCACGCTTCCTGCGTTTTCCTGTATATGGGTCGTTGTCAAAATTAGGGTCCCTTTTTGGGTACCTTAAGTAATAGGTGCCGTATTATAATAGGGACCCAAAAAGGGGCCATAATTTTGACAACCACCCATATGATAGGTTCTGCGCACTCACCAAATCCACAGGGTCCTCTCGACACCTAAGCACTCTCACTTCGCCCAGACTGCAGCCTTCATAAGAAGGAGCGGTGCCTGCCAGTGTGGTTTCGGGAATGGTGTTTGAGGTACTTAAACTTCAGCCCGAAAAAGCGGTTCCTTGCTTGAAGATGTTTGTAGGATTTGCTTACGCGACTTATACTACGGCTTCATCAAGGGGTACTGAAGCCGCGGACCCTCAACCTCGGGGAACTTGAGATTCTGCACTGTCTGGTGTGCTCAGGGACTGGAGAGTTTGGAGATTCGAGGCTTCGGCTGATCCCCTTTGGCTTGCAGTGAGGTGATTTTTTGGGGAAGCTGTCAAAGAGGTCCTGCCTAAAGGAGAACCTATCAGTCATGGAACCCTAAAACACGCTGACAACTGTGAAGCATCTAGTTGGCGCAAGCAGCTGTTTCGTCGAGAGATGCAAAGGCTGACTCACGTGTCAAAAAAAGCTGGCTGGTGGTAAACGGTGTAGGCTTTTTCCGATGTGGATTTTAAGATGCTGGTCACAATACCAGGTGTGTAATCGCAGCGATAACCAAAGTCACGGCACGAAAGGTCATAGTCATAGTGAAAATACTGCGAGATTACCCCAATTTCAACTTGTGCACACCTCTGCTAGACAGAAAACCCCCGTAAACCCGAAGCCGTAAACCGAGGAGAAGGATCTCTCGTCTTCCTACCTATTGTTCGTCATGCTGCTTGTTTTTGACATGAATACTGTGACAGCGATTTTTCCTACCATGGTCACGACCTTTCTTTTCTAGGGTTTAAGGTTTAGGGTTTAGGGTTGATGGTTTAGGGTTTAGGGTGTCTTAGTCGTATTGCTCTCCCGTGCCCCAAACCCTAGACCCTGAACCCTAAACTCTAAGCTACCCGGAAGCCTGAACCCTGAACCCTGAACCCTTACTGAAAGGATCATGGGACTTAGTAAGTAGGTTATAATTGGGGTTGTAAGTCCCCTAAGTGGGGTTATCCTAATTGCAACCTACTTATAACCTTACTTACTAAGT